CTGACGCAGTGTTTGGTTGCTCCATGCATGCAAACATGTCAGAGGTAAGAAATTTGTTCTCTTAATAAGTTCACCCTAGTGGGAATATTGGTACAGGAAATAATTGCTGTGATGGCCAAGATGATGATCATCCAACCTAAAAAGAAACAGCATCTATTTCTGCTTGATGTATGTTCTCTTTGTACTTCGATCCCTCACTCTGACTTTACAATTCTTTCTTGAGAGTAAACCCTATGCATCTAAACCTACCAACACCATCTTCCGAATGGCTGAACTTGAGCTCAATCTCAATTCGTTTTAGTTTTATGGTTTATTCATCAACCATATCAGTGGTGTTGCTATAGGGACTAAAATCAGTTTCAGCTACCTGGTACATTATCTACGACTATATGATCCCTGTCACCATAGAATTTCTCATCTTAATTTTGGCCTAGCCGTAGCTGCCACTTGCAGACTTGCAGCAAGTTGTAGCTTCTACACAAGGGTGACCAAACGGTCCGTTTTTTCACGATCGTACCTGGTGTCCCGAAAAAGTCTCTCGGGACGCCTAAATGTTCCGTTTCTAAAACCAAACACATTTTCAAATCTCTAAAACTTCCTAATTTGTAATATAACTTCAATTAATTTTTTGGCTAGCTGTGTAGCCAGTGCCAGTAGTGATGTGGGCTCGCATGATAGCTGCACTGTTCCACCTCCGCCTCCATCATTCTGCCTAAAAAAACAGTGTCCCTGCCATATTCAGAATTCACTGCAAAAGAATTGTTTTTGTTTATGATATGCCCCAGAGTTTAAATTCAATTACAAAAGTGAAGGTAAATTTAAAAAGATTTCTAGGCCTAGGTCTCAAAATAGTTAAAATGAGCATATAATAATATAATATGATATTTCAATATGCCCCGGGACCCCTCTTGGAGGGTATCCCCCCAAACCCTCCTTGGGTGTGTCCCGTTTTTTCCAGTTCATGATCTGGTCGGCCTACTGCTACTCTACACTAGTCTACACTCTAAATGAACTAGACTAACTCTACTAAGACACTATACTATACTAAATTTACTAATATTTTCCAACTATGGAGACTATGGTATGGGTCTACTGGGCCTGAATTTAGCCTACCTAAATTACATCTTTATTTTAACACCTCCTGTTAAAAATCAAACAATTAGAATTCAGCATAAGTTCTTTGCCCTGGGGTTAATTTGTTTTGTTATGTTTGGTTGGTATTTTTTTTAATAGAAATTTAGAAATCATTTTATTTTCTCGTCAGAACTGTGGAACCATAATAGGTTACTCCGTTTACCGAAATCTTGAATGAAATTTGGATCTTAACGAGATGTATCCACGAAACGGTTTTAAGTATTTCATTAATATTTGCAAAACTGATCTTCTCAGTTATGTGTTACGAATCAATTACGTAAAGTTCTTTGAAAATAAGTTAGAAAAAAACTGTCATACATTAAAAGAAAATCAGGCTTAACAATAACCAAACATTACTATCTTCTTTGTTTGGGGACAGTCCATATACATCATGTGAAAAATTTTTGCATCCTCTTTCCCCCTTGTAGAACCAGCTACATCACCTTTGTCTCATTTAACCACTCAGTGTTTAAGATATTAGCATTTTATCTGTGTGCAGTAAATTTCATCACCAGTCTCTGTCTTGTGGCAGCCAATCGAATATCGAATTGGCTGTGCTTTTCTTTCATTTTTTAAATTTATTATTTAAGTAGCAGGTGGAAATTTCTTAGGCCCAATATGAAGAATCGTGGGTGCTAACTATAGCATACAATACGAATTTTTACATCCATAAAAATTAGTAAATATATTTGCAAGTAATTATCTAGACCCATTAATAATGAATGTATAATAATAATTTATTTTGACTCCCACGCTGTTAACAGGTGTCAAACTTTATCCACCCCCTCTCTTTTATTTTCTTGACGTTATTAATGAAAGGCCCCTAAACAATAAAACTAACAAGCATACACTGCTTTTTTCTTCAAAACTATTCCTTTCCAGATAACCAATGACACATTTTAATGCATAGTAATTGAGAAAAATACCCACTGACACCGCCTAATCTGGCTTTTCTCATCTGTATTTGTATATTTCCAAGCTTCCATTTTAATTGTTACACACATGAATAGTGCTTTATTTAAACCAAATTTTCACTAACGCTTTCCTCGAGCCGTATTTTCATAACTTCCCGTCATATAAGTAAATTCATTTGTGACCATGTTCGGTTAATAAGATCCGATATGATTCCTTAGACTTGGTACCGGTACTTGATATTTTTAGAGATTATTAGCGTAATTGATCGGGGTTTGTTTTTTTAAAGTATAAACTAATAATAATTAGCACAAAAAAAGAAACACAAGGTGGGGGAAAACCTGAAAAAGACTCATTGTTTATTATCTCTTAATATTTAACCTGATCGATAGCTCTTTTTGTTATTAATTTAGCAACATAACTGGCATATTTAGGCTATTACACTTTATACTAATCGTGACTTCTTTAGTTCACAGAAATAGAAAACAGAATTTACTCCTGCTTTAACTGTTATTCTTCCAGTTCTAAAATGTGCGTCATTGGTTACAAAGAAGGATAAACAATTTTGAAAAATAATTGTAAATCGACAAATGATTAAATCTTTAAGTTATAAAAAGACACTCTAGTTCTAATTGTTATTACTTGTTTTTCTGGTAGTAATGAAAAGAAAATGGGTACATGTATTTCTATTCTTATCTACTCATATTTAATATTTTATTTATTTTGTCTAGTCTAGGCCTAGGCCTGTAATACTATTACTATTGTATAATTTAATTGGAAATTATTGGCCTATTTTTAAACTTAGTAAAAGGTAAAAGTATTGGCCTTAAAAATGGTAAATGTCTAGTTTAGCATCCCAAGTTATTTTTAATTTGCCTACCAATTTCACAACAAATCACCAGACCAGAGGAACTACAGTAACAGTAAAAAACTTAACTTATATATAATATATTTATGTGCAGAACAGCAATGGCCATGGCATGGCCAACTGGTGGAGGTCTGCACAAAAATATTGGTGTTAGACAGAAAAATCTGGAAATTATTTGCATTTTTTATGTTATATTAATTTTGTTCTTAAATATATTAGTAATTAGGAGAAATTCTCATTCACTGAATCAACATTTAAAAAAAAAAATTGTTTTGGTTTTCTCTTATTCTCATGCAGTAAATTTAATTTAATGTGTTGGGTTTTTTTTTGGTATCATAGTTTTCATTAGGGTTGCCAGATCTGCTTCCCAAAAGTAGCGGACAGGGGTGGGGGGGGGGGGGTATCTAGTAAAAAAAAAAAAAACATTTTTTTAAATTTATATACTTAATCAAATTTCTTGTGAAACAATTGACTATCATAGTATGATTAATAATTTCTTCTGAGTATCAAGTTCAATGGATATTCAATCTTTGTCTCATTCTAACATAAAAAAAAGACAAAACGCGATTCTCCTATCCTTATTATCTCAGACTTTACAGCTTTAGATTACCGGTACGTACCATTTCATCATAAAGCTTTTGAATTTAAAAAATGTCCACTATTTTGTCGAAAAAAATAGTTAACATAATGTGAAAAAAGTGGACTGTCCACTCAAATAGTGGACACCTGGCAACCCTAGTTTTCATAGTTCAATTTTTTTTAAATAATCAATTTAGTTCATTATTTTAAGGATTTTATACCCAAAATACCGTCTTTTTGCTTTAAAAAATTAACCTTTAAACAAATTTACAATATCAACGCACTTATAAACTGTTAAAGGAACTAATCATATTCTTGCAAAGACAACTTCGGGATATGTTCACAGTATGATGCTTTTCAATAAAATATGACTGTGGCAAATGCTGTTTCCTGAAAAATATCTGCAAATTTGCAAATGTTTTCAAATTTTGATGAATGTGTGAGAGAGAAGGATGTCAACTGGCTGGTGGTAACCATTGTCCGGCAGCATTTAAAATCACTAACAGAATCTTTTAGTCATTATACCCAAAGAAAGAAGATCCCAGAAATTGAAATATATGGATAATAGATCCATTTGCAGCAAACATTGAAGAAAGCAATTTGAGCATGAATGAAAAAGAAAGACTCTTTGATCTATCATCCGACAACTGTCTCAAAGCTAAATGACAAGACCTCAATTTTGGCTCTCCATAAAATTTTAATACTAATACCCATTAATGATTGAAAAATCATTAAAAATTTTGATTTCATTTTAAACAACATCTTCATCTGTCACAGAAATTAAAACCCTGTCCCGTTCTCAGCTTGAAATAAATTGTAGTTTGAGCCAAAAATCCATAAACTTCTTTTAAACAAACAGGAACAAATATTAAACAAAAATTGTGTAAAACAGAAAAACGCTTCAATTATTTTGTAATAATTAAAATCACTATAATAATTGTGTTACAATTTAACAAGCAAATAAATTTTGTTTAAATTTTGTTGTGATTAAATTTATTATTTTGCTATTTTAAATAGGTGCATTTCTTATTAGTAAAATCAAAGTTTTATGATCATTATTTTACAAAAGAAAATATCTTGTTTTTTTTAATTCATATTAGTGAGCCATGGGATTTAAAATTATGAATTTAGTGGTCCATGAGGTCCAAAAGATAAGTGACCACCGCTACAGTTGACAGTGTATAGAGTATAGCCTAAAGCTAAAGGTCTAGGCCTACATTATGAATCTACATTTAACAAAAATTAAATTATACTTGCTACATTAGCAGCTGATATTACTGATAACTTCAATAATATGGCCTACTAAGAAGTAAAGATTTTGCAACATAACAACAGTGTTGGTCTCCTCTTCTAAGAGTAAGGTACCGGTAACATATTTCTGCAGATATATATTTGATCCAAGGCGAAGATTTCACTGAGGTTCTTCCTGCAGAGATAACTGATAAAATTCTTCAGCTTCTTGATGCAAAGGAACTGTCAACATTTCAGAGAGCCTGTGTGCGATGGAGAGAAATAGGAAATGGAGATCATTTATGGTTTGTTAACTTATGTTGTTGTATTTTAAATTGGGAAAACTATGGATATTTTTTAAATATTTGGATCATTAAAAGTTTAATAGCAACTATATTTGATTTTAAAGTCTACGGTTGTATTTTTTTTTAATATCTTAAAACATTGGGATTTGATTTATTCCTTTCATTTAATGAAACGTCTTATTTTGTTTACACGATCATCCTTACCAATGAATTAATAATAATATAATATATGTTTATAATATGCTTTATATATATATGCTTTAGGTTATGTTTCTGCAGGCTACACTTATGCATTGGAAAAGGCTGGCTGAAGTATGGTGTCAACCCTGACATTTTGAAAGAAAAACCTATTTTTGCAACACTCACAAATTTTACAGGAAACTCACCCTTGTTTGATTTGAAAAGTTTGTTGGTTTTAGATTTAATTATACTAAAGTAAGGACTGTGGAGATAGAAATACCATTAACCACTTAGAGATATATAGCGTCAAGCATGAAAGAGTTGTCTAAAGTTTATAATGAGCAAAAAAATAATGTTGCATAATTCTGTTATCTTTGCTATCATCTTTAACCCTTGAACTGTGGCATAGATCATTCTGTAGTGTGGGAGCTTTTCAGGGCTTTTTGACTTTTTGAGTGCCTTTAGAAATAGCATTAAATGACATAGAAATATTGATGTAAGACCCCAATAAGTAGGCTATATATTTTTAGAAAGGTAAATGGATGGGAATAAAGTTGGTAATATTGCCCACCCATAAAAAAAAAATTTCAGTGTCCTTGACCTTGGAGTGCTCAAGGAAAAAAAATCGACAAAATGTCTAGCTTTCGAGTTCTCATAACATCATTAATTTTTATAGATTCCATTAAAGTGCTAATACAAATGTGGTAGCCAATTCATTTATCTTTCAGAAAATATATAGTTTGCCAAGGTTTTGATTAAAATTAAACCTCTGAAAGCAATTTTAGTAATTTTAGGTCATTTATTACTGGAAAAAAAAAAGAAACTGGGACCACAGCTAAAACCAAGTACAACATACAAAATCTCAGGCAAAATAGTTATTATTGACTAGTTAACATTTAAAAGGGAACTTTGGATCTGATTTGGGTTGTTAAACTATAAAATTTATTAGCACTGATCTATAATCTGTAGCTTCTGTGAATTAAATTGAGTCAGTTCTTGCCCAACCTCCTGGCCTGGCTTGAAGTCTAACAGTAGGCCTAAGACTAAGACTAAGTATCAGATTCACGAGAAGAAGAATCTGAACTGAGATGTCATGGGGAATGTTAAAATCATCATAAGTATCACTTAAATCCTCTCCTAAAAAGCTTTCAAAAATATTTATATTAGTTCTCGCACTGAAGGCCCAGCCATAGCTTCAGCCATTTCAGCTTAAAGAAAACAGCGATATAAAATTCTGATTAAAAAGTACTTATTGTTAAGTTATCAAGAAACAGCTTGACCTGGAATTTGAGTTAATTATTAATAAAAGGAAGTGGCTATGATTCCGGTTAAATATTTGATTGGAAGTTGCTATCAGACCATGTTTTTTATCTGCCAATTTTTTACAGAACAAGAATATGGGCAGATTTTTTCGGCCGACCACAGTTCGAGGGTTAAATATAAACCCAAAAATAATTTTGCGATATTGACACAAAAAGTAAGCTTCTGGCTCTGATTATGAAATTCTGATTAAAGCTCATCAATAAATAATTGCATGGCAGTCTTTCAAAACGCCATTAAACTCTTATTTAAAAATTATTGTCAAAATAAGGCAAAATTTAAAATTGCTGTAATATTTTTAGAAAATATATCCTTCTAAGGGTTCATAGTTTAGTATGACTATCTATGTTACTTCTTCAGTTCCAGATTATACAAGACTTTCTCCAATTTGTAAATGGAAAGATGTTTTTCTAAGGATGTGCCATTTGGTCAAGAACTGGAGCAAAGGGCGCTACACAGTGGCACCCATTTTAAAGGGCCACACTGACAAAGTCACAGCCTTTGATTGCCAAAGTTAGTAATTAAAAACTCAATTTGTGTTAACAATGTGAAGGAAAATTATGATGTTAGACTTTCCCATGTGATAGCCATTGACTACCCGTTTGTTGATTTAACTAAAATTTTAAGTTGATTTTCTTTTAGTTACAACATTTAAAAAACCTCGGTAAGTGTTACGACTTAGTCAAGAAAACATGTATTGATATTTTATAAATAGAATTTGAAAATTAAGTTATTCCATTAAAACAATTCCATTACTTCCAAGTTTAAAATATTTTAAGGCAATTTTAAATAAGCGGTAAGAAAATTAAGTTTAGAGAAATAAAACTTTCTCTTACCTTGATTATGGTAAAATAAATTAGATAGTGCCAAAAGTTTTTCATAGTGCTTAAGATTACATTTTGACCTATACTTAAAAAACTTTTTTCTTTAGTTTTTTTTGTTATAAAATCATCTAACATCCCCAGACAATTGTTTGGTTAGTGTCAGCAATGATAAGACTGTAAGAGTTTGGGACCTAACAACTTGTCAGTGTGTCAGAAGGATCGGAGGATTTTCTGACTCTTTAACTGCTGTCAAAATATCGGTGAGTTGTGACGGAGATAAATGCATTCAATAATTATTGCTTTTTGTTTTACTGCTTATTATAAATGTTTACATTTTTTCACAAATAAGCTTCATAAGTGACTTTTCCTCAGCTGATTTTTGGCGTGATTATTAATTTAAGTTGTTAGAACGTAAACATCATTTGTGGGACATAAAAACCATTTAATTATTAGAAGGAAATCTAATGCAAATTCATTGCAGTTCTAGCAAAGATAAAAAAATAATTAAATTCTTAATGTGTAAGTTATGAAAAAAATTATTCACTCTGAAATGATTTTGTCAGATATACAGGCTTTTTCTTCTTATTGAAGCCCTAAAAACTCACCGATGAATTATTGCTGTATGTTGGGCCAAGCATGTTTTCAAAGTTATAATATAATAATTAGTTGTGTGACATTAAGCAGAAAATAAAATCAATGAATGAACTTGGCCAAAATTTGTCAATTCAATTTCAGCTGCTTTCATATAGTAATTTTACTCGATACATTCTCCTGTTTTAAAAGAAATATATATTTTTACACTTGTACCGTAGGGTACATTAGCAGTCACTGGCTGTGGTGATGGTAGCATATCTGTGATCAACATTGCAACCGGTCAAAACGAACTTTCCTTCCATGGCCATAGTGACAGTGTCAATCACATTTGTTTGCTGGGATCACTTATTGTTAGTGCTGGCTCCGACAGGTTGGTTGTACTTACAGTGGTTGATGATCTATAACTTCCTTTAAGGAAAGCTCAACATTGAAAGACCTTCCATAAATGAGGTAACACTGTTTTGTCAGATTTTTACACCCACCCCAATCACCCCCCATCACCACATATAGTTAGGCTTAGTCACCATGGTCACCAGAGACATGACACCCCCCATCACCATCACCACATAAAGTTAGACTTAGTTACCACACATGGTCACCAGAGACATGACACCCCCATCACCACATAAAGTTAGACTTAGTCACCACACATGGTCACCAGAGTCATGACACCCCCATCACCACATAAAGTTAGACTTAGTCACCACACATGGTCATCAGAGACATGACACCCCACCCCCCATCACCACATATAGTTAGACTTAGTCACCACACATGGTCACCAGAGACATGACACCCCCTTCACCACATAAAGTTAGACTTAGTCACCACACATGGTCACCAGAGACATGACACCCATATCACCACATAAAGTTAGACTTAGTCACCACACATGGTCACCAGAGACATGACATTGTTTATGGATTGGCTCTCAGGTTTACTTGATCCAATAACATAAACTGTACTTTAAGGTATAAATCATTGCATTGCAAACCTTGTGGTGATCTTGACCAAAGTAGGGTTTTTATTTGATTCATTCCTGACAAGGCCTGTAGGTCTATCTTATAAGAGACATTTTAAATTAATTATTATTCTTTTAGTCTTTGGGCTGCCATTGAAAATTACTCTGCTTGCCGAGATCGGCCCATGTGCCTTAGGTTGCAGACCCGAAGATCGGCCCATGTGCCTTAGGTTGCAGACCCGAAGATCGGCCCATGTGCCTTAGGTTGCAGACCCGAAGATCGGCCCATGTGCCTTAGGTTGCAGACCCGAAGATCGGCCCTTGTGCCTTAGGTTGCAGACCCGTCGTGTTGATTATAGGAAATGATTGTTTGTAACCTTATTCTATTTTCAGTACTGTCAGAGTTTGGTCACAATTCACACAAGAACTAGTCCACACAATGAGAATACATACAGATGAGATAGAAGTGAGATATATTTGTATTTCTTTATAGATACGAACATACTTGATGGTGCACAATATGACTATTGCATATTTATTTAGGTCCACATCTCTGACTGACATTACAAAAAAATGCTGTTAACTATTAAAAGGTTTGTTACGGAAACCTAGCTAATAAATAAAGTGTGAAAATGTAAGTACAATGTCAATGTCAGTTTGCTAATTGTGTTTCCGCAGTGTATGTCTTGCTTTGGTCATTCCATTGTGACTGGATCGTGGGACAGGACTCTGATATTGTGGAATGTAGAGTCAGGCCTTTGTGTAAACCATTACGTTGGCCACAGTGAAGGTATGATCCTGGCTGGATTTGGAAAAGTATAAGTATAAGTACTATTTTTAAGCTGAATCAGGGAGAATTATTTCTCTCAAAGTCAGGACAGAAAAATATAGAAATTCATTTCTTCACCCATCTTTCAGAATTTACCATTGTCCTTCCCCTATTGTCCTATTATAAAATCAAATGATAACTCTTAAGTCAATATTGTCATTAAGAACATTTGGTTTTAATTGTGCTAGTTTAAAATTGTTTATCTTAATCAAAATGTTTATCCCTATGCTGAAAGTGAATATATACAATGTAATCAAAACAGATTTCAATTTATTTGGACCAATAAAAGAATCTTATCGTCTATTATGATATAATAGTTTAAATAATAAGATAATTTACATTTGTAATTACTTACTTTCATTTTTTATCCATAATTTGAAATCCTTGGATTAGATTTTTAAAATTAATATTTACTTTAAGAACTGTTTTTTTTTAAGCCAATGTCTGATTGCATTGCAGTTGTATACTGTTGCCAGTTTGACTCATCCAAAATTGTTAGTGGCAGTGCAGATGGTGATGTTAGAATCTGGAGCTGCCTGAGTGATCAGTGCATTCATGTCTTATCTGGCCATAAGGGAGAAGTGGTGAGGAGAACATTTGATTCTAGGTCTAGCTGATAATGAATGATTTTTATTTTGAAAATCTTATTATAGAAGTAGCTCCCATTTTCATATGACCTAGTTACCCTAGTTAAAAATGTTATAAAAAGATAAACTAAGAAATGACACTTTATCCCCAGTACTGCCTGGCCTACAATGATGAGTGCATTGCCTCAGGCTCGTCAGACAGTACAATTATATTATGGTCACATGCTGGTAGGTTATGGCTTTATTTTGTGTTCCTATACATTCCTTGTTTGACCTAAATTGTACATGGATTGCCCTCCTGTTATTGGGGAGCTGCTCGGTCATTTAAAGATAAAATATAGTGGCGCTGCCATCAAGCAATGTCAATGTAGTATTAGGAACAAGTTATTTGGAAGCTTGTATCATCCTTGTTATTCTTTTAATTTATATTTCTATTCCTAGAATTCTGTGGCTATTTAGTCCTTGTTATTCTTTTGATTTATATTCCTATTCCTGGAATCTGTGACTATTTAAGGGGTTGTTTCCAGGAAAAGTAAGCAGCTGTGTAAATAATATACAGATATCACAAATAAGTTTTTATATCTTCTATGGTTTTTTTTTCAGGTGCTCTGCTGCACGTCCTAAGTGAACATATGGGAATTGTCAGGTGCCTGCACATCAGTGAAGAGCGACTGGTCAGTGGTGGTGACCAGAGGATGATTGTAGTCTGGGATCTCAAGGTAAGCTGGTTGAAACAGTGGTGTCCCCTTATTTAGTCCGGGGAAAATTAAAGTACATTATGTTAAGTTTTATCCACCGGAATCATAAATAGAAACCAATTCATTCAACTTGCCTCTGTAGGTGGTTAAACATTTCAGCAAGCAAGGAAAGAAGTGATAAGCAAAGTGAACAAAATTATAAGTGAAAATAAGGACTAAGGTGTTACTATTAACCCTAACTCATGCTATTTCCCCCATTGTCTGCCTTTACCACAGTTGTCTGCCTTTAATTTAACCCTGGCAATGAACACTGTTTTTTAAAACATATATTATACATAATCTGTATGATCTAAATCCTATAATTAAAACATCTTAAGAATTTTCATAATTATTATAATCTACAGCTCAATTCAATTATATTTTTCTATTTTTATCAGGACAAAGTTGGTTTAAAAAAATGGCTTTTATGAAGATTCTCAAGTTCAAATTATTTTCATTACAGTATAATATTTTTTTTACAAAAAATACTCTCCAAAAGGCTGTCTAGTATCAAGGACATGATTATGTTAAAAGTCAGATTTTTGTTTTTAATTTTTATTTTATAGAGTGGCAAAAAAATGACAGTTTTACATCGCCATCCCAACAAACTCCACCTCATGTGGGTGGGCCTCACAAAACTTATCACAGCATCACCAGAAAAATCTGGAGCTATGACAGTGCTCAGCTTCTGGTGAAGAGATTTGTGCTTGGTATGTTACTGGTGCAGAGCAGTGGTGCCCAACTTTTTAATTTATTTTAATATTTTTTGAGGTGCAAACCCTAATGAAGAATTATTTATGAAGATACCCCATGCCACCATGTATGTAAAACAAGGGTTTAAAATATGACCCTATGAAAGTTAATGAACCCAAGGTTGCACAGGTCAAAAGTTTAAATCATGTTTTGCTGTCTTTGCTACTCTGCCACATTCCTAATTTTGATGGAGTGCAAGGTCTACAAAATTCCTAATGTTGATGGAGTGCAAGGTCTATCACATTCTTAATGTTAATAAAGTGCGAGGTCTGCCACATTCCTAGTGTTAATAAAGTGCAAGGTCTGCCAGATTCCTAATGTTAATAAAGTGCAAGGTCTGCAACATTCTTAATGTTAATAAAGTGCAAGGTGTGCCAGATTCCTAATGTTAATAAAGTGCAAGGTCTGCCACAATCTTAATGTTAATAAAGTGCAAGGTCTGCCAGATTCCTAATGTTAATAAAGTGCAAGGTCTGCCACATTCTTAATGTTAATAAAGTGCAAGGTCTGCCAGAGTCCTAATGTTAATAAAGTGCAAGGTCTGCCACATTCTTAATGTTAATAAAGTGCAAGGTCTGACATATTCCTAATGTTAATAAAGTGCAAGGTTTGCCAGATTCCTAGTGTTAATAAAGTGCACGGTCTGACATATTCCTAATGTTAATAAAGTGCAAGGTCTGACATATTCCTAGTGTTAATAAAGTGCAAGGTCTGACATATTCCTAATGTTAATAAAGTGCAAGGTTTGCCACATTCCTAGTGTTAATAAAGTGCAAGGTTTGCCAGATTCCTAGTGTTAATAAAGTGCAAGGTCTGACATATTCCTAATGTTAATAAAGTACAAGGTTTGCCACATTCCTAGTGTTAATAAAGTGCAAGGTTTGCCAGATTCCTAGTGTTAATAAAGTGCAAGGTCTGAAATATTCCTAATGTTAATAAAGTGCAAGGTCTGACATATTCCTAGTGTTAATAAAGTGCAAGGTCTGCCACATTCCTGATTTTGATAAAGTGCAAGGTCTGACACATTCCTAGTGTTAATAAAGTGCAAGGTCTGCCACATTCCTGATTTTGATAAAGTGCAAGGTCTGACATATTCCTAGTGTTAATAAAGTGCAAGGTCTGACATATTCCTAATGTTGATAAAGTGCAAGGTCTGACACATTCCTAGTGTTAATAAAGTGCAAGGTCTGCCACATTCCTGATTTTGATAAAGTGCAAGGTCTGACATTTTCCTAGTGTTGATAAAGTGCCTTCAAATAGTTTCAACAGCATGTTTGATGTATTGTTTTTTATTTTAAAATATCTTATGTTAACAAAACAAAATTAATTTGATCTGAAACAAAAGTAACTTAGAATTAAAATAAATCAACTCATCAAAAAGTCATATAATTTTTTCAAGGATAAATGTTTTGTATTGTCAGTGATTTCTATACCTTGATGTATAACATGGTGTTACTATGGGGGGTGGGGGAAGAGAGAAGAGGAGGAGGTGGAGAACCAAAGGAGGTTTTAAAATAGCAGTACATAAAATGTCAAACTCCTAGCCAAAATGAACACAGCTACTGTGACTTAACGTTCATTGTTGTTGAATGGCTTCGTTGCTTTCAAAGATTCAGTGATATTCTCTTTCTATTTAGTAGTGTATTTATCAACTGATCATTTTTTAAATACCAACAGTCAGACTTCTTATGTGTATTTTAATAAAATTCCATGTTAAACTCACTGATTTTGTTTGCAATATTCTTTGCATTTCTTTTCATGTATTGAATAACAGATAATTTCATAAATAACAGTTTTGCACCAAGCTAAATTCATTCAGTTTGACATCTTTATTTTGAAATGGTAATAAGAGGGAGAGACTGCAATCATGTTAGCAAAAAAGGAATTGGTAAAAAAATGTATGTTAAAATCTGAAAAAGGAACGCAACAAAACAACGAACATGTCAGCTGGTAGCCTTCGCCAGCGAATAAACAACAGAATAAACAGAATAAAATTTTTAAAGTAGCACTTAGCTGAAAAGTAGTATCCCAGAGTGCAGAATTTTGTCATGGCACACCTAGCCTCATCTCTTGTCTCGTTGGTGTGCCGCGAGGAACACTGGTTGCGGAGCTTTGCCGCTAGAGCACTGAGTACATTAAACTCTAGCGCTGATTCTGTCTTGTCAGATCCCTGTCATTATATTCTTTGAATCACCATCTAGGCCTATATTATCCAAATTCTTGCAATCACCATGTAGGCCTATATCATCCCGATTCATTATTCCGCTCGCTTTTAGAGGGGAGGCATCACAGGGATGTAAACTTGGCGATGTGGCGCAAGGTGTGTGGCGCAAGGTGTGTGGCTTGTGGAAGGTTCATGTTGCCGACTTTGAGGGTGTCCTTAACTGCAGGATCTTCCTCTGGCCCTGAAACTGGAGTGCCTGCCGTTGTAAGTGCTACAATCTAAAAATAGAGAAAGTAAATAAATATTATATAAAAATACTAGGACTTAACCAGGAGCAGATTTTTTTAAATCGGGTCTGGGTATTTTGAGAAATAGGCCTACAGACAGTCATACATCCTACCTGCAGGCCTTAAATGATAGCCCCACAACATACCCGTGGCTCTTTATTGAATAATATAATAGTCGCATCCCCCTAAAGTTACCCTCTTCACATGTTACACATGACAACCTTTTTTTCACTCAGTACTATTAATATAAAACATGGGGAAATAGGAAGCAGGACACACCAGAAGCAAAATTAAAGGCCACCTTTAAGGTTCATTTGATTATCAAGAAAGGGCTATTTGCATGTATCAGAGGGACTTTCCCACCACCAAATCTGAATACTGCTGTCAGCCAGTGTCATGTTCTGTACTCCTCACTGGCCCAGGTCAGCCAGTGTCATGTTCTGTAATCCTCACTGGCCCAGGTCAGCCAGTGTCATGTTCTGTACTCCTCACTGGCCCAGGTCAGTCAGTGTCATGTTCTGTACTCCTCACTGGCCCAGGTCAGCCTGTGTCATGTTCTGTACTCCTCACTGGCCCAGGTCAGCCAGTGTCATGTTCTGTACTCCTCACTGCCCCAGGTCAGCCTGTGTCATGTTCTGTACTCCTCACTGGCCGAGGTCAGTCATTTTCATGTTCTGTACTCCTCACTGGCCCAGTTCAGCCAGTGTCATGTTCTGTACTCCTCACTGGCCCAGGTCAGTCAGTGTCATGTTCTGTACTCCTCACTGGCCCAGGTCAGTCAGTGTCATGTTCTGTACTCCTCATTGGCCCAGGTCAGTCAGTGTCATGTTCTGTACTCCTCATTGGCCCAGGTCAGTCGGTCTCATGTTCTGTACTCCACACTGGCCCAGGTCAGTCGGTGTCAGTCAGTGTCATGTTCTGTACTCCTCATTGGCCCAGGTCAGTCAGTGTCATGTTCTGTACTCCTCATTGGCCCAGGTCAGTCGGTCTCATGTTCTGTACTCCACACTGGCCCAGGTCAGTCGGTCTCATGTTCTGTACTCCTCACTGGCCCAGGTCAGTAAGTGTCAGGTTCTGTACTCCTCACTGGCCCAGGTCAGCCAGTGTCATGTTCTGTACTCCTCACTGGCCCAGGTCAGTAAGTGTCAGGTTCTGTACTCCTCACTGGCCCAGGTCAGCCAGTGTCATGTTCTGTACTCCTCACTGCCCCAGGTCAGTCAGTGTCATGTTCTGTACTCCTCATTGGCCCAGGTCAGTCAGTGTCATGTTCTGT